GAGTAAATTAAGGCACAGAGAAAGCAGGGTACTTGCCTAAACATACACAGCTGGTACATGGTGGCGATGAGCTCAAACCCAGAAGCAGTCTACTCAGAGTTTATTACACTGCCTCATTTATCTATGTATCTCCAGCACCCTTCCTGCCAAACAAGGGACTGTTAGTAAATTAAATGTTTGTTGAATGAATATAAAGCTGGGATACATACAGCACTGGGTACACAAATCTAACATTTAACTGTCCTCCTGTCCTGCTTTTTTTGAAAGTACAATCGGAACAGATATTTATTCAGTTCTCCCGCTATTTAGGAGTTCTGGTTGACAGGGACATGTAGGGTAGGATGTGGTGGTAACAAAGGGTGGTGACAGATGAAGAGGTTAGTGCTGGGGGATGCAGTGCTTTCTAGAGGGTTAACTCAGGATTGCCCTGTGGTCAGTAAGAGCTTTGGTGCAAACTCTTACAGAGGAATGGTGGATGATACCAAGGGATAAAGGATTTTAAAGAATTCATTGCCGGTATTCACTTGCATTCCATTCAGCCAAGCATCAGTAGCTCCAGCTTCATTATTGGTTGGGATTTGAGGCGATGTGGCACTTTTAATTAGGAACTGCCTGTAATCTAGACTTCGATGCTGCATGGAATCAGATTGCTCTGTGCTTTAGTAGCTTGGGCTGTAACTGAAAGTCACAGAGTAATACTGACACCTAGTGGTAATTTCAATACAATTAAAAATATTATCAACTTAAAAAATTAAAAAAACAACTTGTAAGAAAGCAACAAACAGTAAAAGATTTTATAATGCATCAAGATTATTGATTATAAAAAGCTAGTATATTCCTTTTCCTATTATTCATTAGACTTTACTATGTACCAGGCACTATAAAAAATTTCTTTTATCTCACTTCATCCTTACGATAACTCTAGGAGGCACTATACTCTTCATTTACAAAATGGGAAAACAGAGGCTCATGGAAATTAAGGGTGCTAGAATTCAAAATCAGGTGAGTCTGACTGCAAGGTCCATGCCACTGTTTATAACAATTATAAATGTTACAGAATAATAACAGAACTTTATTCAACCAGTTTACCATTAACTATATAAAGCATTCATATATTTATTCATTAAATATTTCTTGAGGGTAGTCTAGGTTTAGGGCAATATAAAAGCTATGATGTTAGGTAGGATTATGAATTTCACAGTCCTTCTACCCTTCTGAAGCTCATTAAAGATCACAGTACTGTTAGGTTTTAGGCAGTTAGTTAGACATGAGTACGGTGGATGGCGGATGTTGTTAGGTTATTTTGGACTGCCTTGTGTCAGGTTGACCTGGGCTATTGTGGGAATGGGGGGCTAAGTGCCAATTAAGATCTTGCAGGTGCAAGACTTTGAAGGTGGGTTGTCTTGGGGAGCTGGTTGTTTTAGGGGACTAATTAATGTCCCTGGGACTTTCTAATATAGAGAAATAGATGCAAATTGTTATGGGCAAATGTATAGGAATGAAATTGATCTATAGCAGCAGTTCTCAACCTGTGGGTCGCCACCCCTTGTAACGATGAAAATACATCATGGCATTAGGAAGGTTGAGAACCACTGATCTAGAGCATGGGAATTTTCCAAGTAACTATGTATAAAGTAGAGACCCTGTGTGGGCGCAGCCTGCTGTCCAAACTGGTAGGATAAGCTCTTCCTTTCTTGCTAAAACTACTTGCTCTTCTTCTCTTCAGTTATTTCTCTGACAACCTTGAACCATCACTGTGCTGCCCTAATAGTACTATGTCCTTCCATCATTCATCCAACAATATGTGGTTAGTACCTCCCATGTACAGTCAGTTAGCCTGGGGTGAACAGGTTGTTCTTTGTGTTTAAGAAGCTTATCTTGTGAGTGAGACAGACAAACTGGCAAATATAATGTGGTGTTGTCAGTGCTATGACTAGAGAGAAGTTGAAGGAACAGCGGCCAGGCCCCTAAATTAGTTTTGGGCATATCAAAAAAGGTTTCTGAAAGAACACATATTGAAAGCTAATTCCTTTTTTTGTATTAATTCCAGCTAAAATTAAATCTTTTTTTTTCTCAAAATAACTGAGCAATTACTTGGTTTAATTTCAAATCATGGGAAGAATACTCCCAGAGGAAAGTCAAGTATTTTAGGAAATATACAAATACTATTTATAAACATTTCAAAAGTTCTAAAAAGAAAATTCCAGTTAATTAGAAAATAAAGAAAAGCAAATTGTATTTTTAATTACTTACCCAGTTCACAAATACTGAGCATCTACAATGTGTGAGGTATCCTACTAACACCTGGAAACGTAAGGTTGAACAGAAGGAGCCTGTGGTACCCGTTGGAAGGTTCTAGTTTAGAGTGTAGCAGAAGTGATAAAAATGAAAATGCCCAAATTTACATACAAATTCTTACCAGTAATTAAATCTGAAGGTATTCTATTGGTCAAGAAATCAACCACAAGTATTCTACTTGTTGCAAATATGACACCACCTTGTGTGTAAACTTCATAGCGATTGTTACTTGCAATTTCATTTGTTACACGGCGAGGGAGGTGTTCTACTCCTTCTATCTTCAGCTGATTGATAAAATACTCCTAAATCAAATCAAACTTGCAATTAGTAGGCTGTTTAATACGGGGCATTTTTTTTTTTTTTGAGACAGAGCCTCAAGCTGTGCCCCTGGGTAGAGTGTCATGGCATCACAGGTCATAGCAACCTCTAACTCCTAGGCTCAAGGGAGTGTCCTGCCTCAGCCTCCCAAGTAGCTGGGAACACAGGTGCCCGCCACAACACCCGGCTATTTTTTGGTTGCAGCCATCATTGTTGTTTGGTGGGCCTGGGCTAGATTTGAACCCACCACCCAGGTGTATGTGGCTGGCGCCTTAGCCACTTGAGCCACAGGTGCCCAGCCAATACAGGGCATTTTTTATTATGTTGCAGGTATTTAAAACGATGTGCTGCCCTTCTCAGTGATAATGAATTTAATACTGAATACACAAACTAAGTTACTACTTTATATTGATCAACCAACCTGTCTGCTCAATTTTTGAACTAGGTCCTCACCACCAAACTTTAAAAACCTTTGATTAAGGCTCGGTGCCTATAGCTCAACCGGCTAAGGCGCCAGCCACGTACACCTAAGGTGGCGGGTTTGAATCCCCAGCCCGGACCTGCCAAACAACAATGACGGCTGCAACCAAAAAATAGCCGGGCGTTGTGGCGGGCGCCTGTGGTCCCAGCTACTTGGGAGGCGGAGGCAGGAGACTCGCTTGAGCCCAGGAGTTGGAGGTTGCTGTGAGCTGTAATGCCACGGCACTCTGCCCAGGGGGACAGCTTAAGGCTCTGTCTCAAAAAAAAAAACAAACAAACAAAAAAAACCCTTTGATTAAAGGACTTCCACTACTTAGGAAATACTTCCACGGAGGCCAGGTACGAAGTCAAGTATATTCTTTAAGATAACAAGGGAATTTTCTTATCAGCGTTTTTAGACTATTCTGTCCCAATCCATCCTAAAGGGACTTCATGTCCTAAGTGCATTGGGCCTTCATACTCCCAATTCAGTACAACTGTTACTGGACGCCAGTGTTGTCCTTGGCCTCACGCCAAGTGCTGGGGCTACATAGATGACTTAACAGGGTCCCTGTGCTGGAGGAGTCCATGGTCCTTCTTGTCAGCTAGTATTATCCCTGGCCACTGGCTCTACTTAGGGGATCGTCACACTTGTCAGACACCCACCAGCACAGGTGTATCTCCATTCCATCTGCCTGGTGAACCTTCCTCCAAATCCTCAGCTTCCAGTCCCTTCTGACCCTATGGCCCTCCACCCACAGCCTTAGAACATCACTCTCCTCCGTCGCTCCTCCTCCCTACAGGGCTCGCTCAGTCTCAGCATCTCCCTTCATGTCACCTACCACCCTGGAAGACCAGCCCCATCACTGTCCTCTTTTAGGATCCCACTTCCCAAATCCACTTAAAACCCAACTTCGAGACTTTCTCGTTCTTCCTACCCAGATCCTCCTTCCGACATCTCCCTATCCCCTGCAAGGACTTGCCACCACCCTCTCAAGAGCCCCCATCTTCCAGCGCCCTCACAACGCAGTCACAGACCCCGGGACTTCTCCCATTCCTCTTAGGAACTTAGCAACCTCAGGCACCTGTATCCTCCTCCGGACCCGGTCCTCTCCCCTATCCTTTTCAGTGTGTCCAAATACAGAGTCAGGACCTGCATATTTTGGGGACTCCAGCCACCCTTCTCAGTGCCCCTGAACAGCGTCCGCATCCCCTTCCGAGCCCCCCCCTCCCGTCAGAGACCCCGTCGGAGACCCCGCGGTCCCCTGAGCCCGGTCGGCGGCGGCCGCACCTCCTCGGCCGGCTGCGTGTTGAGCACCAGCACCAGGCAGGCCGGGTGGCAGTGCAGCCGGAGGAAGTGGTAGAGCAGCCGGTCCGCGCCGAGCCCGCGGGCGCACACCACCAGCCCGTCGGTGTCCAGCAGTTCCAGCACCAGCTGCCGCTCGTACTCCAGCAGCGGCGCCATGGCCGTCGGTCTAGCCGGCGAACCCGGCTCCATGGAAGCTCTTCCGGGGCGCCGCCGAACGCAGCCGAACGTCGCCGAGGAAAGCCGAGTCGGAGAGGACGAAGGCCGGCCGAACTCAGCCGAAGAGGAGCCGAGTGGAGCCGAGTGGAGCCGAGTGGAGCCGAGTGGAGCCGAAGATTCATAGGCCCTCCGCGCGATGCTGGAGCTACCGACCCGCGGTTGTCTCCTGCAGGCCTGAACCCTGTTTCTGTGCTTCCAAGTCCTCGGGCGCTCTACACCTCCTCCGCCTGCCACCATCCACCAAGGAGAGGGGAGTAACCCGAAGGACATCAAAAACGGAAAAAGTTAATTGTCAGTATAGCAAGGGCGCCAAGGGCCCCTAAAGTTAGTAGCACCTGTTTCCCAGGGTGAGGTTTGGCTTGGTCTGCATCCCCCTTAAAATTTTTATTTTTGAGGGACGGCCTGTGCGTTTCCGTTGTCGAGATCTCGCTGCAGGAGCCATATATCGAAGACAATGTCTGGAAGCTTCTACTTCGTAATTGTGGGCCACCATGATAATCCAGTTTTTGAAATGGAGTTTTTGTCAGCTGAGAAAGCGGAATCCAGAGACGACCACCGTTATCTGAACCAGTTCATAGCTCATGCTGCTCTCGACCTGGTGGATGAGAACATGTGGCTGTCAAACAACATGTACTTAAAGACTGTGGACAAATTCAGTGAGTGGTTTGTGTCGGCGTTTGTCACTACCGGGCATGTGAGATTTATTATGCTGCATGACATAAAGCAAGAAGACGGAATAAAGAACTTCTTTACTGATGTCTATGATTTATATATAAAGTTTGCAATGAATCCGTTTTATGAACCCAATTCTCTCATTCAATCAAGTGCATTTGACAGAAAAGTTCAATTCCTTGGGAGGAAATACCTTTTATGCTGAATGCAGAAAACTCCGAAACAATATTACAACAATGGGGTATACTCAAGAATGTGTACCTTGCAAGTAACTTGATTAAATAGCCTGGAAAACGTTAAAAACTTTTTTGTTTTTATTTTTATATTTTAGATTCTGAGATCTTGATACGTTGCCAAAGCTGGAGTACAGTGGCTGTTGAATGAGCAGAATCATTTGCTAATTTCAAGTTCTTGTTTAGCTCCCAATGTCTTGGATACAAGAGGTATTTTGAAAAGGTGCAACCAGGTGTCTGCACAGCAGCCACATCCCTCCTTCCAGGAGGGACACCTTCTGCAGTATTTGTTCTGTACCTAGAAATGCTTGTTACTTGGATGAGTAGACAAATTATTCTGTGTTTGAAATGCTCTTCTGCCTTTCATTATTAGAAAATAGAGAATACAAGTAAGCAAAAATAAAATTCACTTGATATTGCATTACATTGAAATAACCACTGTTAATTAACATTGTGAAATCGTTTAGTCCTTTTTTTCCATATTCATACACTTATCACAGAGTTCTCTTACCAACATGAGATAATTAATAATCCTGATTTAAAGCCCAATTTTGTCACTGAACATGGTATTCTTTCACAAAATTCTTTTATATGACTGATGAGATCTTCCTAACTGGATGGAACCTACTTATTTATTTAACCTCTTATTAGAGAACATTTGGTTTTTTCCCGCCACTATTTCCCATCTAATACTATAAATGACAATTTCACTAAACATCTTTGTACAAAAATTCAACCATGCCCTTAACATACACGTATAGAAATGGATAATTACTGGACTAAAGGGAACAAACATTTATAAGGCTTTTCATTAAAATCACATTGCCACAGTGCCTTCTTAGTCTGTACAAATTTACATTCATGCCAGCACTTTACAAGAAGATCTGTTTCTCCGTCTCATTATTGCTTAATTCAATATTTTGTTTACATTTTGTCACCATGAAAACAGCATGGTTTCCTGAGTGCTGGTTGAGTGGAAAGTGTTGTCTGCAGACACTTTATATTCAGTGTTTCCATGAGACAGATATTCATCTCTCCAGTTTGCAACTGAGAAAAATGGAATTGCTCAGGGAGGTTATGTAATTTGAGTAAGGCCATCGGGCTAGTCAGTGTGTTTCTTAGGTTTAGTCCAGGACATGGCAAGTTACGGATTCAACACATAGGTAATTAGGAAATGCATGTTGCGATCACAAGGCTACAATTCAAACCTGGTTCCTGAATTGTGACTGAGAGGATAACAGTCCATGTCCTAATCCCGGGAACTTGTGAGTAATTTATCTTACATGGCAAAAGGATGTGATTAAGTTAAAGATCTTAAGATGGGCAGAGTCAATTGGGTTATCCAGGTGGATTCAGTATATCACAATGGTGCTTGAAGGAGGGAGGTGGGAAGGTCAGATTCAGAGGACTTGTGACAAAAAGCTGAGGTTGGAGTGGTGTGGAAGGCTGCAGAGCCAAGGAATGAAGGCTTTAGAAGCTGAAAAAGGCAAGGATATGGATTCAGCCCTTTAACTTCCAGAATGACGGCAGCCCTGCTCATGAATTTTATACTTGTGACCTCCAGAACTAGAAGGATGAAGTCCCTAGTTGATCAAAACAAACTTTAAAAACTATAGATAGGAGTACACAGTGAAGCAATCATTTTGAAAGGTGAATTTTTCTTCTTTGTTTTTTTTTTTTTTTTTTTAGACAGAGTCTCACTCTGTCACCTTGAGTAGAGTGCCCTGGCTTCATCATACCTCGCAGCAACCTCAAACTCTTGGGCACAAGCAATCTTTTGTCTCAGCCTCCTAAAGTAGCTGGGACTAGGCTACAGGCATCCTAATACACCTTGGTAATTTTTATACTTTTAATAGAGACCAGGTCTCCCGTTTTTCAGGTTATTCTCAAATTCTGCTCAAGCAATCCTCCCAGAATACTAGGATTACACATGAGCCATTGTGCCTGGCCAGGGAGGGGACATTTTCTTAAAACAGGGTCTTGCTGTCACCCAAGCTGGAGTGCAGTGGTCAATCATACCTCAGTGCAACTTCAAACTCCTAGGCTCAAGTGATCTACCTGCCTCAGCCTCTTACGTAGGTGTAGGACTACAGGCACACCCATCACACTTGGCTGATTTTTAAAATTGTTTGTAAAGATGTGGTCTCACTGTGTTGTCCAGGCTGGTCTTGATCTCCTGGCCTCAGCCTCCCAAAGTGCTGGATTACAGACATGAGCCACTGCACTGGCCAGTATATAAAGAAATTTTAAATACTTGTATGTTGTGTGGGGCACCCAATGTGTCAGGCACTGTTTTAAGTACTGAGAGTTTATTAGTGGGCAAAGCAGGCAAAATCTCTGCCATCATGGAACTTGCATGAGAGTGGGAAGCTTGTGTATAAAGATACTTATCCATCATGTCATTGTGTGGACTGTTGTTACTTCTTGGACATTTCTTCTAAGTGTCCAGTATTAGAAGTCCAGTTAAAATTTCTTTATGCATCTTTAATAAGTGGAATATTACACAGCTATTAAAAGCCATATGTGATATCAATATGTATAATTATATATTGAAGAAAGGAGTTACAAAGCAATAATGTGTACTGTGGTTCCATTTGTCTAAAAACCTCAGCAAACAGCATATAGATGTGACAGCACAGAACAGCTCTGGAATCAAAGTATGGTGGACTCTCCATGGCTGACTACTTCCTTAAGTTCACCTAAGTTTCATTGAACAGACATGCACCACATGTAGGTGTCAGAACAGTAGGTCTAGTTCCTTGTATTGACCACCTCCGTGTGCTGGCCAGTTTGTTACATTCCCTTGGTGGTCAGCTTACTGAGGTTCTAGTGTAGCTCAAAAGCAGTTGCTTCTGGAGAGTTGAAATAGTGATAAGTATTAGGATTAGAGTGTTTTTTTCCAGAAAAATTTAACAGGTTTATTTATAATTGTTATAAAGTTGAACTACTGAAAGTTGTTCACTGAAACACTTTGACTTGCTTTAATGCTGCACACGCTCACATTTTATATTAAAAATTCACACACAAATGAAAATGGAAAAACGGCCAATACCTGATTTCTGTCCCTTATTTTTCCAGTCGCAATCATATACTTAAGTTTTGACCCCATGGGGGGAAAAACATCTAACGTTCAGAACAACCAATAACAGGAAGAAGAGAATTTTTTTTTTTGATAGTGAAATGTTTTCCCATTATAGTGGACCACGTTCTCCACGTATGCTAGCTGGATGTCTTTTGGCATAATTGTTACACGTTTGGCATGGATAGCACACAGGTTGGTGTCTTCAAAAAGGCCAACCAGATAGGCCTCATTTGCCTCCTGCCAAATGGAGGCTTTGGAAGCGCAGATTTGTCTTAAAGTCCTCAGCAATTTCTTGCACCAGACGCTGGAAAGGAAGTTTGCGAATGAGAAGTTCAGTGGACTTCCGATAACGTCCTATTTCGCGGAGTGCCGCAGTACCAGGCCTGGAGCGATGAGGTTTCTCCACCCCTCCAGTAGAGGGCGCACGCTTGCGAGCGGCTTTTGTAGCCAGTTGCTTCCTGGTCGTTTTACGACCGGCGGATTTGCGGGCAATCTGCTTTGTACGAGCCGTTGCGGTGTAAAGACCTCCTTACTGACCCCCCCTTGGTATAAAGACCTCCTTGGTGACCCCCCCTTGGTATAAAGACCTCCTTACTGACCCCCCTTCTCCTTCGGCTGGAGCCCGGCGAGCTAGAGGCGGCGCTGGCATTAGCGACGGCTGCGAACACTAGGGTAAGAGTTTTACACTTCAGTTTATTCCTTTCTTTTCTGTTTGACTTTCTTACCATGAATTTATATCAATTGCAGTAAAAATGAAAGAAAAAACTTCTAAGCTACTGTATAAGTGCTTCATAAGCATTAAAAATATTATCTTGGCTTGGCGCCTGTGGCTCAAGCAGGTGGCGGGTTTGAATCCAGCCCGGGCCCACCAAACAACAACGATGGCTGCAACCAAAAAATAGCCAGGCGTTGTGGCGGGCGCCTGTGGTCCCAGCTACTTGGGAGGCGGAGGCAGGAGACTCACTTAAACCCAGGAGTTGGAGGTTGCTGTGAGCTGTAATGCCACGGCACTCTACCCAGGGGGACAGCTTGAGGCTCTTTCTCAAAAAAAAAAAAAAAAAAATTCTAGATTTAATAGACGTGATGGGCAGCACTTAACGTGCAGTGTTGGTTTCCGGGGAAGCACTCTTTTGTGGCAGACTGTATCTACACATTTTACTTTTGTCCCTTGGTAAAAGTTTTCAACTTAAAGTAAAGGGATTTATTTTTTAATCTTATGTTACTATCATAGCTATTCTTCAAGTGTTTCTTTATTTCTTTTTCTTTTTTTGAAATGTTGTATATTGAATTTAATAGCCCTGGACATATTAGGGAAATTATATTTAGATTTTTTTTTTTAATTACAAAGCGTTTTTCTTTTTTTCTTTCTTTCTTTTTTTTTTTTCCAGTTTGGCCGGGGCCAGGTTTGAACCTGCCACCTCTGGTGTCAGCGTCCTACTCCTTGAGCCACAGGTGCCACCCCACATTACAAAGCATTTTTTAAAAAAAATTTCAGAATATTATGGGAGTACAAGTGTTAGTTATATGGTTGGTTTGTGTGTGTGTCTTTCTGGGACAGAGAAGGCTCCTTCTCCAGGCTGCTTTGCAAGCTTCAGTTTTGCCCTTGAGGATACGCATGGCAGGCACTCATCTTTTGGCCTTTGGAGTTGGGCTGGAGGTGAGATTTTGGTACCATTTTTCTCACAGCCCTGTTAACCTTAGCTTGAGTTCCAGAGTTAGGCCACTGTAATCTCTTCTCAGCAACCTCATTCGGTGTGTCTGTGTACACACACACACACACACACACACACACAAACAGATATGAAATGCTTACTAAATCCAGGCACTTGGACTCAGTGCTAAGGATTCAGGAATGAAAAACACACCAAGGAGTTCTTTGAAAAAGAGGCC